CCCTCATCCAGGCAGGCTGCGAGGAAACCATCGAGGCCACCGTGCGCAAACGGAGACTGTGTTTCGCGGGCTTTGTTATGCGCATGGAGGTCAACCGCCTCCCCAAGCGCATGCATGCTGTTAGGAGCGATGGCGGGGGGCGGGGGATACCGGGGCGGGTAGAAGCGCGACTGGGTGTCTCTTCTAGGAGAGGACCTCGTGGCCTTCAACATGTGAGACGAAAAGGAAGGGGGGAAATGGAAAGAGAGCGCCAAGGACCCGGAGGTGTGGTACAACAAGGTCGAGGACGGGGCGGCATGGTTCATGAGGAAATGGCACAGGCAGGAGGCGGAAGCGTCCGCGAAGCGCCAGCGCGCGAGGGAAGCAGAAGCAGAGAGTACGGCCTGCTCGGGACCGAAGAGAAACAGAGCCGGGGAAGCGGCGGTGGGGGGCAAGAAACGGCGACCGGGCACTGCCGTAGACACGAGAAGGGCGGCCGAGGCAGCACTTGCGGCGAACTATTTTTTTTGTGGCAAACTGTGATATCGTTAGACAGACTAGGGAAGACATTTTTGAGACACCTTTGGCAAAGTAAAAAGGAACGATTTGGCCATCGATGGTCGGTCCTGTGGGAACAATGCTCCGTCCCCTCGAGGACGCACGGTCGAAGCAGTCAAGGCATGTGAAGCATGAGAGTACGCCTCTGCCCGCCCGTTTCGCTGACCAATTTTTCTACTGCTGTCTTGTCTTCGCTCGGTGACACGCACGACGACCTCCCTCAGGACCATCCTGCTACTGAACCCATGTATTGTGGGATGACGTCCTGGTGCACAGAAGAGACACATCGGCGGCGCCCGGCGCAGGTATGCATACGCCGGGGTACTGTCGGGAGTTTTATACCCCCTTTCCATGCACAGATAGTTCGGTGTTGTTGCAAAAATTCTGACATGAAAGGGAAAGAGCGAACGACGCCTGCTGATTGGATGCAGACAGTTCCATCACTGGGTGAAAGTGCAAAGCTGCCTTCCCACCTCAACCGTCTCTTCGCTAAAAGCCCTATCAAATGCCCACTATTATATGTTACTTAACAGGGCTTTTAGACAATATCTGCGGGAGCGTGGTTAACGGGGCACGAAAAGAAGGCTTTTGACGTATTTCCTCTGGAGGGACTGCGAGACCTTCTGACCCAAGCTCTGGGTCCGGTGCCTCCTCTCTACGGTGGGCTAGGTACTTTTTCCGCGCTTGCCCCTAGACGCAGTAGCGCTTTCTACCCAAAGGTAGACAGACGCGGCGCAATCGTCCCGCGATTCGACCTGTCATTATCCTCATACTCCTTCACTCTACAAAGCATCCATACTAGACTACAGTTGTCCCCGTCTACCCCGCCAACCCCCTTGTCGAGTTTAGTAGTTTGAAGGAGGAGACAACCATGCCATTCTTCGCGGGGTAAAGCGGGTGAACAAGATGGGTACAATCATGTCCACAAAAGCCGATGTAGCCCTGGAGGGGTTAACCACAAGCCCTAAAGCATACATGTGGCTGTTGGTGTTCGACGAGAAGTCGCACGAGGTTGCGCGGCGGTTGCGTAGATGGCGCAAGTACGAAGCGATGAGATTTAATTTGAGCAGCGCAAGCGTTCCGGTGTGCAAGAAATCGAGCAAAATCGAAGAATCTGGTGTGTAGAGAATCACACTTTCACAACGTATGCTCTTTCTGCATGAAGCGTCGTTGGTAACGCCTCCGTATTTTATGCGGCACCTACCCTTGTTTTCGAGGCATATATATGTACCCCCCACTGCACTGGGGCATAGGAAATGGGTTGACAAGGTAGAACGTGATGTCGATCGGATAGATCGGCTAGGGACGACATTTTTGAGCCACCTTTGGCAAGCAGGAACGATTGATCGCCCATCGTTGATCGGTGCTGTGGAAAAAATGCTCCGTCCCCCGTCCCTTCTAGGACACGTGGCTAACCGCTATGGCATGCGAAACACGAGCGGACTACTCCCCGCTCGTTTCGCTTACCAACTACTCTGCTGCTGTCATATCTTCGCCCGCTGACACGCGCGACGACGCTCTCCCTCAGGACTACCCTGGCAACACACGACATCACGACGGGCAGCAGCAGGAGCAGATCCATAACGATGGCATCAACAAGGTATGCGTCGATCGGAATGTTTGCTCTCTATTGTAGTGTTGTCGAAAACGCTTGTGCGTCCATATGAGGCGGTTCTTTTGCGTGGGGGATCTCGCTTGTGGTCGTGTTACGCGGGTACGTTCGGACGGCTGCGTTCTCGCATCCGACGACTGGATTCCACCAATGGGCGTACACCTCCGGCAGGGAAAGAGAGTGACTCCGCCCCCGAGCCACGGTGGCGGGGGTAACAAGGGGGCCCCGGTGAGCAGAGACCCTCCCTCGCTGTCCCCACCCCCTCCACCGCAGGAATATCTGCAACCACCACCATATCTGGATTAGCGTGTGTTTTTTTACCCCACGGGGTCCCCCCAAGCGAGCCCGCATGCCCAGGGGGGAGGTGTCGCACATTCTTGTACCCCTCGAGGCGGCGGTAGCAGCAGCGGCGGCAAAAACAGCAAGGACAGGGAGGCAGGGGGCGAGGGAAGGTCCGGGGAAGATCTCCATAACTTTGGCAACGACTCCGGGGTTGATCGCCAGAAGCAGGCGCCGCCCCCCCCCCCCCCCCCCCCCCCCCCCCCCCCCCCCCCCCCCCCCCCCCCCCNTACCAACCACTAAAGGTGGCCGTAGCCCGGTGCCGGCGGGGTGGGGCAACCGTCCCGCGGCGGCGCGCGGGAGCCCCGTCGCCGGTGGCGGAGGAATTATCAACGGCAGTGCTTCTCCGCAGGGTCGTAAATCGACGGCGAGGCGTACGCAGGGGGCGGCAGCGGGGTGGACGAACGGCGGCGGGTCGCGGGGGCCGACCAGTGCACCCGTCAACAACGGGTGATTGTTTAGAGACGTAACCAGAAACGGGTATACCCGGGTACTTTATCACCTCTTTCGGGTACACTTAGAAATCAACGCGCCGGCACCCCCAGGTACCCCCAGGTAGCCACCGGCATCTCCAGACCGTCTGGTGTCACCGGTGTTGGTTACTGGTGTACCCGGAAGTGGTCAATTTTGTACCCAGAAATGGTCATATTTTCCTGGCGCCCGACAATACTAAAACCAGCAGGATAACCCGTGTACCGCACATACCCGCACGATACACCATGTACCGCACATACACCACACACAGCAGGGTGGTACCAATCTCCGACAGCCTCCTCCGTAGATCGCGGCGAAAAACCAACCGCCGTGTGCCGTGTGCCCGCCCCCGGAGGCAGTTCCTCACCACTTACAGCACTTCTCACCCACGCACCACACGGTTATCATGCTGGAGAAGGGCAAACAATACAAAGACGCGAAAGCCTTGAAGGTACATGTGGCGGCCCTGTTCGCGGGAGCTGGCCGTAGCTTTCATTCCGGTAACGGAGGCGGCAGACAAAAGAAGCATATCTGCAATGGCGCCAAAGGAAGATGTCTGGCTGAAGTGCGCGCCTGCAAGCAGAGGTCGGGAGAGTTCAAGGTGACGTTCATCATCCCGGACCACAATGACTGCTCTGGCGGCAAGGTCGGAGCGAGATCGGCTGCGCTCGAGGGTTTCGCCAGTGCTGCCATGGTCAGCAACCCGACCGTGAAGGGCACGGACCTGAAAAGGAGCCTAGAGCAGCAGACCGGGCTCAAAGTCAGCTACAGCGCGGCGTCACGCCTGAAGGTCGCGGCTACAAGGGCGTCGAAGGAGCAACTGGAGCACGGGTACCGCATCATGACCTCTTACTGCAAGGAACTGGTGAAGGACTGCCCGGGATCGATTGCGGTGGTGCAGGTGGGTGGGTTATCAGTTCTCAGCGGTGGTTGAATTTCGTGGGTAGGAATGGCTTAGATGATTGGTGAGGAATGGTGTCTGCTGTGTGTAGAGTGCACCCCCGACGTTAGCTGTACCCCACCGTCCACAAGTACTCACGTAAACGTGGCTCTAAATCTGCGATTCCGTTGAAGAAGCCGGAGCTCTGGTTGACATGGCGGTGGCAGCGCCACAAAAATGGATGGCTAATGATGCCTCTTGATGCAAAGAAAGGATGGACAAATAGGCGGGAAAAGTTGGGTTGATTTGAATTTATTTGAATTTGACCAAAACCATATCTTGTTTTGTGTTAAGGGAGTGTTCGACGTCTATTTTGTAGGGACAATATTTCAATATTTTTAAATGTGTTTGAAATTTGAAATCGAACTGATCCCATCCCCCTCCCCCCCTTCGATGTGTTTCGCCGTCCCCTGCGCTCCTCTGTACTGCTGTGTCAGAGGGAGACTACCGGCAGGTTCCGTAGTCTTTTCTTCATGCTCGGGCGTGCTGCGTACGCTGCGGTGCGAAGCCCGATCAAGGTGTGTGTCACGCAAAGTTGGGACTGGCCCGTTCCATTTTTAATCGGAACACACGATGTGCACGGCGCATGTTGTAACCCATTGGAGTATTTAGTTGTAACACCACGTAGACGACGTTGAATGCAGTCTACCCCTGTGTCGAGTGTGTCACTTGCGCGCCCGGAGATGTGTTCACGAGGATGTGGGCAACCGCCTGGGGTATACATGGTGGACGAGCGCACTGGCCCCCCATGATTCCTCTTGTACCTAGTTTAGGGGAGGGGGAGGTGTACTCATGTAAACGCATGCCGTAGTCGTTAGACCTTTGTCCTCGCATCCGTAGAATGCCGGACGGAGCACGCCGGGTTCTCACCGACCGGACCAGGCTCTCACATGACCAAGCGCGAAGCGCCGTGAGGTATTCGGCGAGTCGCATGCAGGATGCGGATGCGATGCATCCTGCTAAGGGTGTCCGGCATCGTGGGCTTGCTTCCTTGCAGCATATGGATGACAGCTGGAAATGACTCGATAATTTATTTTCTGGTGTATTCACTTGCTCTTTTCACTTCCAGAGACAGTTGGAGCACTGCGTAAACTGCCTCGAAGGTGCTCACCCAATTTAACACAACGTTGGTGTGATCATCCCGTTTGCGCGGAGTGAGGGTTCTGTTCAGTGACACAAAAAAAACGAAGGCAAAAACAAAAAAGCGGTTACCTGCTTGTCGACCCCAACGATGCGATCGGCTTGTTTCACAATGCGTTGCCAAGCGACGAAAACCCAACCCGGGGTAGGGAGGTATAGTAAAGAGATGAAAACGATAAAGGGATCGACCCCCACCATCTTTGTTGCCCTGCTATTTGCGTGGTGCCCGCTTTCCACTCCCAACAACATTGCCGGCCTCGATGGAGATCGGCGTCTTGTTGGTGGCATCTATGTCTCGAAGACCTGAGTTGTTTTCCTTCCGCGCCGGGTGAGACCGGTCGATGCCCCCACGCCAACGCTCAAGCTTTTTGTACATCCCTTTTTGCCTGTGCAAACATGTTGCCATTCCTTCGAAAGAGATCGACTGGAAGAACTTCGAAGATCGTCCGTCGTGTGAACACCTTTATGTTGCCCCTGCCCTTCTTGCAGAGCGACGTTATGCATGCATGTCGCCCATGGCATTGATTTGGCGTTTTGACGAAACTGCCTTGACGCTTTCCCTCCCTCTTTACTCTAAAAAAAACGTCCTCAGGTCGTGGGAATGGATGGGGCACACCTCAAGGGAAAGTGGAACGGTCAGATGCTGACGTTGACGTGCAAGGACGCCAACAACGAGAACATCCACGTCGCGACGGCGATCGGACCGGTCGAGAACACCGACCTCTACAAAACTTTGATCAGAGGTTGCAAGAAGAACCCGAAAATGAGGGACTTTCTGGAAGACTCCAAGACAACCTTCTACACCGACCAGCACAAGGGGGGGAAATGTGCGTTGGAGGGCGAGGCTCCGCTGGCGCAGCACCGGAACTGCTGTTGATGCACTCGCCGATGCGCTGCGACTCCCTTGGGTGCGTTACTGCTCCATTTTGTTGTGTTTGCGAAGCCCCTCTTAGTTTTGTCCCTTCTCCCTGCGTTGCCTGTGCCCCCTCTCCTCGTGTTTCAACTTCTCTGCCCAGAATGTCAACACATGGGTATTCTTCGCCTCCAGAGCTCCCACGAAGAAACAGTGCGAGGACATCCTGAAACACCACGTTCTACCGAGCAAGCCTGTGGCCTATGCCCAGATCATGAACCTCTGGAAGAGGTCTGAGTGGGCTCACTCTGGTGCGCCCCCCGACACCGCCATCCAAGACGTTGTCACGAACAACATTTCGAAGCAAACCAACTCGTCGATTGGTGTCGAGGTAAGGCTACTCGTCACACGATGGTTCGTCGTATGTGACTGCCGGGATAGGAGTCGAAAATATGAAAGTACCACCATTCCAGGACGGGATGTTCGTTCCGTTTGTTGTGGACCATGTATGATCGGTAGCAGGGTTGGATGGACAACGAGCCGCGAAGACTCGAACACGTTACTGTAGATTCCATGTCAGGGACACCCACTCACTCGTTGGAAGGCAAGTGCACCCGTGCGTGGCAGAGAAGAGACAGATGAATAGATGTTTTTCGTTTTTTTTTTTCCTGGAAAGAACTTGAAAATAAGGCTTTTTCGTGGACGTGACTGGACACGAGTACACGTGCGCCTGCCTCCCACGACCCCTCCACCACACACCCCCGCGCATTCGTGCTCGAGTTGTGGGTGCACCCCTACCCCGTTTTGGTGTTTCTCTTGTACCACTGCAACGCCCCGTGTCGACCACAGCAAGTAAGCAAGCATGGTTGGTTTCGTTTCAAGCCTAGCTTGGTCATGTTGCAACTTATTCGGCGATGACTTGTCACAGGTTAGGAAGCTACCGCCATTCGAGATGATGAGGAGCATACTCGCTGATACCGCCAAGAAGTTCGCCCACCGTGCCACCCTCGGCAATGGAGCATGGACTCCCTATGCTGCCGCGACGTTCGAAGACCAAAGGAAGAAGTCCGCCGGGTAAGTGTTGACAATAGTGGAGAATATACAGCCGCGTTTGGGTTTTTCCGTGTATGGGTATGTCCTCGTGTGGTCGAAGGGACAACCTATAATAATCCGTGCAGGACTCTCTTGTACTTGCACGGACGAGTGGTGGGTTGCCAACGGGTGGGAGTTTCATGTCATGTTTGTAGGTGCACGCACGCCGCCGAGATGCACATGTAATGTACTCACATGCACGCCTTTGCCACGTCCATTATTCCAGACTCATCGCCTCCCCCACGGGCAACCAGTTCTACACGGTCGAGAACACCAATCTCGCCACCCTCAACACCCGCGGCAACAGGGTCCTGCTGAGGTGGGGCGAGCCGGGGCAGAAGACAGAGTGGTCCTGCACATGCGGGTTCCCCGCGAGGTTCCACATCCCTTGCTGCGACGTCATCGCCTTGGCTAGATGTAAGCGATGTACCTAGTGGGCACAGCAGTAGTCATGTTACCGAAAAAAACGATGAACGTGAACCTCGTGTTGCCAGCAGCACTGTTTTTGAGTGTACTGTCGCGGAATCTATCGGAGCACTTGCGTGAACCTGGTCGCTGAATGCCCTGTGTCTGTTCGCTTGTCATCGTGTCGGGTCTTTGTTTTTTCTGATTCCGGTGTGTCTGTTCATTTTAGTTGTTTCCTGCGTGTTTTTTTTTTTCATTTATTTTCCGTCTCCTGTCGCTGTCCATGTTGCCCCCTCCTTCGATACACGCAGCGGAGGACAAGATGGACGCTGTCATGGCCCTGATACATCCGGCCTATCGCCTACAATACCACCGTCGGACCTACGGCGACGACGCGTACCAGGTCATGCTGCCTGTGCCGTCCACGCTGGAGGAAGATGACACGCTCCTACCTCCTTTCTGGGTGGCTGGTCAGGCTGGCGCTCCGAAAAAAAATCCGGGCCGAAGAAGTACAAGAGGATCCCTGGGCGCGGGGACAAGAACGCGTCGTCGTCGTTCAACAGGCGAGTTTCTGAACTCGGCCCGACTGCATCCGGAAGCACGGCGGCCCCCTCTCTGTCGCAGGGGGGTGCCACGGCGGCTCCCTCTCTGTCGCAGGGGGGTGCCACGGCGGCTCCCTCTCTGTCGCAGAGGAGTGCCACGGCGGCTCCCTCTTCGTCACAGGGGGGGCGTGCGGGCGGATCGGTCATTGTCGGGGGGATGGTGATCAACTTGGCACGCTGAGTGCCGGCCGCCGAATGACGATGTGTGTGTTGCCGTTTTTGTCCGTGTCACGTACTCCGCGATGTTTTCTTTCTTTTCTTTTCGTGCCAACCCTGTCCAGTGAAGAATCGGGGATCGCGGGCCTTGACACTCGTCTACCCAACGACCAAATGGGTGATGACGATAGTGAATAATGGTGGGCAGGGAGGTTTTATTTCTTTTGCGCTTTCGTCTTTCTTTCGCTGTCGTGTTCCCTGCGGTATGTTGGCTAAGTTTGGCATGCATGGCGTACGAAAATGTGCTGACCCTTCCGCTTTGATTGTGCATCATTGATTTGGATTGTGCATCGTTGATTTGGAGCACACACCCTCTGCTGAGTAGGAACGTCCGGGTACACGTTGCTGCTACGCAAGGGAAATAAACGAGCGTGTCGTGTTGATATGTAGATGCTGGAAGAGGCCCCTTAATTTTGGTGTGGCATTCGAGGTCCTTTTGGAGTCCTTTTGAGGGGGGGGTGAGGGGGGCGGGGCGGCCACCGCGTTCCTTTGAGAGAGACGCGTGTTCTCAAGACCATTTCTTGTTTATTTCCGACTTTTTTCTCTCTCTCTCTCATGATTCGCATGTTTTTGGGAAAACCGACGCGCAAGTGTTGAATCGAGACGAAGTAATGACTGCTGTGTTGCCACAACGCCAAGTTCATACGATGTATGACTGAAAACCTAGTCTGCTAAGGTCATCCATGCATGATGGGTCCTTTTCGGAGGATTCCTGAGAGAGGAACACGTGAACGCAGCATGCGTCAAACACCTTGTCTGTATGGACTCTTTATCGGTACGTTCATTGAGGAAACTAACCATTTTATCTTGAAATATGACATCTACCTCGATACTACACCACGGTCATTTACTCAAAGATAACCTCCAGACCACGCAAGGCATTGAGCCTGGGACCCAGTCGAGCGAATTGGACGTTGACCGTTGTTTGTGCACGCCACCGCCGTGTGCTCGATTAACACCCAAACTTGCATTACACCTGCATGCACGCACGGAAAAACACAGCACCTGGCACAGCCAAACAGGTATTATGCATAATGGACGAATTGTGGATCCGTGCTCCCATCTAGCTGCCTGGTAATATGACTAGACTACAACAAAAGCCCTTGCGGAGCAGCGCGTCACAGCGCAGAGAGGGTGTGTGTGGGTGTTTTTGTCTTGACATTTTGTTGTGTGGTTGGGAAAAAGAGACAACACTGGGAACAAGTTGGTAAGACAATGTGTAGGCATCTATCTGTAGCTATCGACAGCGAGCTGCTAACATGTCGCACATTAGAGACACACTGCTATATATATCTTGCAGGTTCACCTCCACACCACCAGCATTCTCATGAGGAAGGAGGACCCGATCGCCCTCGGTGGCCGTTGGTTATTTTCCTACTACGTATTTTGATTCGTGGGCCCGGGCCCCTCTCCTACAGGGGGTCGAACTCGCTCGATCCGCGAGTTAGCTCGCTGTGGTGCTCGTACATTGGGTAAGGACAGAGAAACAAAACGGGCACGACCTGCCTCATGCTTGCGAGGCACAGCAGCAGCGCAGCAGCAGCAGCGCAGCAGCAGCGCAGCAGCAGCAGCACAGCAGAGCACGGCGGTTGGTTTTTCGCCGCGATCTACGGAGGAGGCGGCTGTCGGAGATTGGTACCACCCTGCTGTGTGTGGTGTATGTGCGGTACATGGTGTATCGTGCGGGTATGTGCGGTACACGGGTTGTTCTGCGGGTTTTAGATCGTCGGGCGCCAGGAAAATATGACCATTTCTGGGTACAAAATTGACCACTTCCGGGTACACCAGTAACCAATATCGGTACTCCAGAGCGTCCTATTGCCAGAAACAGTTGTACCCGATGGGGTTTTCTCCCAAAATGGGTACAATGGTTTTTCGGCCAATCAGCTGACAGCCTGGGGGTGCAAACGTCTTGATTTCTAAGTGTACCCGAAAGTGGTGATAAAGTACCCGGGTATACCCGTTTCTGGTTATTGGTCGATTGTTTATTGGGTGTATCTAGTAACCCCCCGAGGGTCTCCACCACTGCCGCTTGCTCCTCGTTTTCGGTGTTGCGGCTTTGGCCGGAAATCGGCCAGTTACTTGATATTTGGGTTCGTACTGTTTTGACAGTTACTTGGTCGGCTGATTAAGCAGAAATCAAATCGGGTGGTTTGTCGGTCGGTGAAGGGTTGGTCGAGGTGCTCAGCGTGGGTGTGCTTCGTCTAGTGTTCGTTTGTTGGCAGCTTTGGCGTGTGAGCTTGACTTGGAGTTGTGTCACTTCGATATCGGTCAGGCTTTCGTGAGGGCCCCTCTCAAGGAAGATATTTTCATGCGACTGCCGGAAGAATGTGGTGCGTTGTCGGGGAAGATAGTGCAGTTGGACAAGGGTCTTTATGGCTTGAGGCAGGCATCTAGGGAGTGGTACGCGTTGCTGAAGACGTGTCTGTTGGCTTTGGGGTTCCAGCAGTGGATGGCTGATTCGTGTGTTTTTCGTTTCGTCGAAGGGGGGGAAGTAGTGCTGTTTCTCGTAGTACACGTAGACGATATTGTTGCAGTGGGGACGAAGGAGAGGTGTGATCAATTCGGGAAGGACCTCGGAGAGCAAGTGCCAGTGAAGTCTCTGGGGGAGTTGAAGTGGTACTCCGGTTGTTCTTACGAGAGGGACAGAGAGGCAGGTAGACTGACGATTTCACAGCAGACATACACCGAAGAGTTGGGAGAGAGGTATGGTGTCGAGTGGGAGGGAGTGTACTTATAGTCGTGCACGCCGTAGTCCTTAGAATATTGACCTCGCACGCCGGGTTGTCACCGGACCAGGCTCTCACATCGCCAAGCGCGAAGCGCCGTGAGGTATTCGGCGAGTCGCATGAAGGGTGCGCTGCATTCTGCTAAGGGTGTTCGGCATCTTGTGCTTACTTCCTTGCGTACGGATGACAGCTGCGTATGACTTAATTTATTTTCTNCAATCGACCACCATTATGGTTACCGCCAAAAAAAACAGAGGGAAAAAAAACGGCAACCTGGTTGCCGAGCTCACGAAGTGAATTGGCTTGTTTTACATCGTCGTTGGCAAGCAACGAAAACCCGATCCCCATGAATACCGGTGGGGGCGAGTGGGGGGGGGGGCATTCCTCTTCCCACCACCGGCAGACTTTGGGACTTCGACGTGGACGAGCCGAGCGTAGAGTACCCTTTTCGCGCGCTGGTTGGTTCACTGCTGTGGATTGCCTTGTTGACTAGGCCGGATATCGTGAATTCGGCGAGAGCAGTGGCGAGATACTGTAGGGCACCGAAGTTGATCCACTGGAAGGCTGCACTTAGCATTTTAGGATATGCAGTTAGGACATGTTCTTCGGGGATTTTTTTTCAGAGGGGGGCGGTTTCGGGATTTTCTTTGATCACTTTTGTCGACGCGGAATACGCTTCACGTGCGGTAGACCATAGGTCGGTTTCGGGAGGGGTAATGATGTGTGCAGGAGGGGCGATTGCATGGTTCTCCAACACTCAGAAGTGTGTGACTTTGTCTACCACGCAGGCAGAATACGTGGCGATGGCGGACATGGGGAACGAGATTTTGTTTTGGGGGCAGGTTTGGCGTTTCATGTTCCCGAAGGAGTCGCGGCCGTGCATCCGGTGGTCTAGTGAGTAACTTCGCAGCCGGCTGAGGGCCAGGTCATGGGTTCGAGTCCCGGCAGAGTGAGTTTTTTTCTCACTAAATAAATCCTGGTCTAGGATGAAAGCGACGCGTTGCAAAGCTCGTTGTAAGTAAACGATAATCGACGTCGTGAGTCCCGAGGGAAGGGATTGCTGTACCCTTCTCGCGAGAAAAGATACCTCAGGCAGGAACCGCAGGAGGGGGTTCAACCCCCCCCTCCTGTGTGACCCCGGTTGGGTCGTCTAGCTAGTAGAAGTGGAGGATAGGGGCCAGAGGGGCAGCCGACACAGTCCAATGATGGCAGAACAAAAAAAAAAAAGCCCCTGTATGAGGATAACGAAGACGCTATCCAGATCGCAAAACACCCCATCTCGAATTCCAACTCGAAGCACATCGATTTCAAGCAGTGAAGCCGTGGGCGGTAGCTTGCTCCTAGATATTGATGAAAGTTCTGTCGCTGACACGCTTGTCCACGACCACGTTGAGATGGGAAAGTCGCTTGTTATTGCTGGGATGAAGTGGAGATCCAACTTCATCTCAGGGGGTACACAGAGTAGACAATTCTAAGGGGGTAGGGGTCAGAAGGGCATACCCCCTGACCGACCCGCATCCTATCAACAATAAGATGTACCCTATTCATGCTAGCAGCCACACTCCTTAGCACCAGCCTACCCTGAATATCATATATGCAGATTCCATACTTAAACCAATGCTCAAATCCTTAAGCTACAGCAAGATTTAGCTGATGATTTATGATCATAAATCGAAGATATGACTCTTCACAAAACATCCAAAAGGAGGGTGAGTTGTAGAAATATCCCGAATCAATCCCCCACACCATCTTTGAGATGAAGAATGCTAACGGTCACGAGACGGAACATCGACATCTCAATGACAACGCTTAAAGGGATAAAGCTACGAAGAATATATATTGCGCCAGAGCACGCCATCATCCTGTACAGATGACGACAGCGGAAAAAAAAGAAAAATACCCGGACGCCACACACCACTCTTTTACGCGCACCCGCGCGTATCACCGCTGGAGGAATGAAGGCGACTACCCGAGTCCAAAATACGGTGACGAAACTCAAAACCCAAACAAATGTCCGAACGAATACGGTCTTTGTTACTGGACGCGACGCAAAGGGAAAACTCAACGCAATCTAAGACGTTAACGAAGGGCAGGAGTAAAGAACGACAGGCAAAGGCACGGAGAACAATTGCCAGCGTGCCAGGGTACCCAACTCGTATACGGAGACGGCAGGGGCAAGACCTAATGAGGACCAAGGATGCAAAGCACCAGTGATTAAGGCAACAGAGGCGGTCGACGAACTGCGCCATGGCTCGCTGGCGATACGCATCATTCAAAGACAAAAACACAGAAAGTCGTAGAGATTCACACAAGACGACGACTCAGGGACGCTACTGTCATGAAGGCGCCGCCCGAAGGTGGCGATGATGGAGACGAAGCAGAACGAAGTGTGGGTGACGACGAAAATCCATGGGAGAAGGCGACGCCACGGGATGGAATCCCGAAGCACCAAACGTATGCGACACTTCTGCGGCACGATGGAACCAAAACAAAAAAGAATTACGACAAAATTAGATGGCAAATGCGAGGCGAACCAGGATAACGCGGGGAACTCAGTGTCCAAGTGTCCCGAGGCAAACAATACCCACGAAACTTGGGGACCTCTTTTTCCAAGCGTTCAGAGGCAAACAACACCGACGAAACTTTGGAGGGAGCTTGTCGATAGAACCAAAACCAACAACAACAAAAAAAAAGTAAGCAAAGGCGAGTGAGAACGGACATCCAGGTCGCGGCAGTTCACTGATTCAGATGAATGCAGGAAACAAGGAAGAAGGATCACTCGACACTGCGTGTCTTGAGGCGGCGTTGACCCAGCGTCCAAAACAAAAATAAGCCAACGAAAGAAAAGAGACAAGATAGAAAAACAAAACAAAACAAAACAAAACAAAACGGAAGGTGACAGGAAAAAAAACAAAATCAAAACGTCGGCGAGAAGGATTACACAAAAGACCAATATAGGCCGATTGGTGTATGAAAACGACGACGCTAAGAAGAAATGGTGGGAACAGCCGACAGTGAGGAGCCAGCAAGGAGCGGAGTGCGA